TTCCGTTCTTTATTTTTTCTTATTGCAATGGTGCATGATACAAAGCTGCAGCAAATATAAAAATTGTGTTTTGATTTATAAAATCAAATTTTATATTTTCTTTCACAATAAATTTTTTAATGATAATCGCGTATACGAATATTTTGTCATATAAAATATTATAGAAATCTTTTAAACATGTAAACGTTAAATTATAAATACTATACCTTCTTATGTTATTATAAATATAATTATATTATATCCTTCTATTGTATAATTTAAAATTTTCAGTTAATGCAATAAAACTTCCTTGTCTTATTATTTCTGTAATTTATCTATTACATTTTATTCTTCTAAAATTGTTAAAATGCAATACTAAAATACAAATTGCTTGAAAATGCAAAATCCGGAAATTTCTTTTAGAAAAATATTTATAACGATATTTAAATAATATTTCTAAAAAGAAAATTAGCAAAATAATTATTATGTATTTATTTATCATGACATTTACTTCGTAAATGTGCAATGTTTTTACATAGTACACACGTTATTCTCTACTAATATATATATTGTAAAATATATACATACGTATATATACCTACATATATTCTATAATTATTATTTGATATGTGCACACACATTAATAAATATGATTATGTACAATGAAAAACATTCAAATACAGCCATTTTAATTGTCTTAATCTGAAATTTAGATTTCAAGCAGGAATTTCTAATAATATCCTTATGCTAATTAATTCAGTCGAAGATTTGTTTCGTACAAGCTTATCACAGGATTAGTTTTCATTTGTGATTTAATCGAAAAGATGGTGATGTTTCACATACACACACACAAATTATAAATATAAGATTTTTATTCTATTCTTGTTATTAATTCATAAACTATAGAATCAGAAACTATATATTAATTAAAAAAAAAAATAGTGTCTATTACTTTTTTTACATAAATTTAATATGATATAAGTAAATCGACAATTATTATTTATTTTACATGATTACGTTCGATTTTATTTAATTTTAATATTTATTTTACTTATTTATTCTTGTCAATCTACATCACAGAGTAATATTGAAACATTTACAAAGCAAATTATCTCTATATTAATGTTACATAATTAATGTTTATATGATCTATGTTTCTTTGACCTGTGTATCATATATTTTAGATTAAGGGTATAAATACCGTGTAACTGCGGTTACTTTGAATAGATACTTGCTTACAGTCAAGATATAAATTGCAAAATGAGAAGTCTCGTACTTTGCGCCTGTGTTTTAACGCTTGCTGTAAGTACTCTCTTAATATACTTTAACCATCTCAATAAACATTGCAAAATAGTTATTTAAAATATAAATTTATTAAAAATGTAAAAAATTGATTATCTAATATATGTATATTATGTACATATATATGTATATATACATATATGTGTATACAAGATGTCCCATTTTAATTAATCATCTCAAATATCTCTTGAACAGTGCATTTTAAGGAAAATGTTTCAGACAAAAGTTTTGGGACTTCCAGGGGGATAAGATGATAACATTGGTTTGATTCTGAGTGGCGTCGTCAAGGTCAGGACAAGGTTTCTCTTATTTACATTTCTGAAAATTATTTTTATTTTTTGAAAAAAAAAAAAAGAGAAACAACCTCCATTGATCATGGCCTTGACACATGTTGTCAAGATCATGATCCTGAATAACATTTAAAAGGTTTCAGCCATTGTTCGGACACTTTGGATAATGCTAATGCCGGTGATACTGTCACTTTCAAGCTTCATAACTCAAAATTTACTTAACCAAAATACATTTTATGTCTTTTGAAAAGCTCTCGAAATAGCTACAAGAATATGCAATGAAAAATAGGGGATTCCATTCAAAGTGAACCTTGTCCTGACCTTGACGACGCCACTCAGGATCAAACCAATGTTATCATCTTATGTTCCCTTCGAAGTCCCAAAACTTTTGTCTGAAACATTTTTCTCTAAAATGCACTGTTTATGAGATATTTGAGGTGATCGATTAAAATG